TTTCATTTATTCCATTCACCTTTTTTTTGTATTATTATTACAGCTATAGACTGAGCCCAATCATCGATTGCTTGCTCATATTCATTATATGGGATATTTGTTAGATCTAGATAAGTACCCCAACATCCAACTGAATTTTTGTTCATATTTTTTGTTAAAATTTCTTCTTTTATAGGATTTGTTGAAGATGAATTACCAAATGTTGCGAATTGATCTGCATCTAATTTTCTTAAAAATTCGTGGCTAGTGTATGATTTTGTTTCAAGGTCTAATGCCAATGGATCTGGATCCTAGTCTTTCCTCTTTCCTTTTGAATCGATATTTTCTATATTAGATTCACTGTTTGAATCAGAAGTTTTCTTTTGGGTCAACAGTTCATGTAAAACTGCCTGAAGCAATTTCAACACTCTCTTCATCACTTTCTTCTAAAGAAATGATAAGTTCATATTTAAAATTTGTCGAAAGTTTTCCGTTGCTCAAAAAAAGTTCTTGCATCATTTTTTGTAATTTTTCTCTTTCTAAAATATGTGGTTCTTTAATATATCGGGTTTTCCAGTATTCTATAATTTCCTTGATAGAGTTATATTTTTCAAAATCTTTTTCTTTCTTATTTTGCAGAGTTAGTATTTCTGTGCCATAATGGAGTTTTGGAAAAGAAATAGGTTCTGATTTTATCAGTATATTTTTTAGATTTTTTACTTCAATCAATAAATCCATTGTTTTAGGATCTAGATCTAACTCAGTAATTTTCTTAATTTTGAAATAGTTCTATCTATATTTTCTTTTTTTTGTATGAACATGTTTTGATCTACATTTTTTATAGCATGGGGTTTGCTAAACCAGCTATCTGTTAAGTCTATTAATGCATTTATGCCATGACTAATACTAGGTAAATTATTTTCTAATTTTTTATCTGTATGGTAAATATGTTCGAAATAACCCTTTTTTCCTAATTTTTCATCTCCTATGCAGGGAATATCTGCCATCCAAGACTCAACTGTGGCTCCTAAGGCCTCTTGACCAATGATTATTTCACTTCCAATGGATCCAATGCCAACACGCCACTCAGGGCAAAATGGCAAACCCCAAAGCTACTAATCAGTCAAGTGTATGGGATTTTAGGATAGCAAAGACTGAAGTAGATAGTCTCTAATAGAAAAATAAAAATTTTTGGAAATAAAATTAAATGAGCAACTTTATCATAAAAAAAAATTTTAGTGCATAATTTCTGATGCGAGAGTTCGTCGTTAGACACAGTCGTAGAGCATACTTAAACATTACAGAAATAAAAGCATAACATAAATAACTTAATTAAATTATACAGGTAAAAATATCATTACCTTCTTCCTTGGCTCTGATACCAATTGGTTTCGGAACACCAAATACGGGTACTTGGATTACTATTAAGATGGATTCTTACAATCGGTGTTACATAAAGAGAGACTTCTTAGGCCTTGTAATCCCAAAATATTATACGAAAAATATTTTGTATAAGAACTCAGAATACAGGTACTTGGAATGAATTGGTTTACCTGGCATTGTTTTGAGCTCATATTTCAGCATACCTATATTAGAGCTCTGATAATATGTTTACCTGTATATTATTACGTAAAGAATATTGGGATTTTCTTTACCTTTTGATGCAAATATTGAGCTCAGTTTACTTAGGCAGTTGAAATACGTGCATAATTTCCTGCCCTTTGGATTGGTTTTTATAAAAATCCGCCACTTGTTTAGTTTGGGATAAGCATAATTGCCCTTGTAATCTCAAAATATCTTTAAAGATAATCGATTGGTATCAGAGCCAGGGGGGGAGGTAATGATATTTTTACCTGTATATTTTAATTAAGTTATTTTTGATATGTTTTTATTTGTGTAATGTTTAAGTATGCTCTGTGATTGTATCTAACGACGAACTCTCACATCAGAAATTATGCACTAAAATTTTTCTTTATGATAAAACTGCTCATTTAATTTTATTTCCAAAAAAATTTATTTTTCTGTTAGAGACTTTCTACTTCAGTCTTTGCTCTCCTGAAATCCCATACACTTGACTGATTAGTAGCTATGGGGTTTGCCGTTTTGCCTTGAGTGGCGTGTTGGCATTGGATCCATTGGAAGTGAAATAATCATTGGTCAAGAGGCCTTAGGAGCCACAATTGAGTCTTAGATGGCAGATATTCCCTGCATGGAGATGGAAAATTAGGAAAAAATAGTTATTTCGAACATATTTACCATATAGATAAAAAATTAGAAAATAATTTACCTAGTATTAGTCAAGGCATAAATGCATTAATAGACACACAAATAGCTGGTTTAGCAAAACCCATGCTATAAAAAATGTAGATCAAAACATGATCTTACAAAAATTAGAAAATATCGATAGAAATATTTCAGAATTAGGAAAAATTATTGATCTAGATCCTGAAACAAAGGATTTATTGATCGAAGTAAAAAATCTAAAAAATATATTAATAAAATCAGTACCTATTTCTTTTTCAAAACTCCATTATGGCACAGAAATGCTAACTCTGGAAAATAGGAAAGAAAAAGATTTGAAAAATATAACTCTATCAAGGAAATTATGGAATATTGAAATACCCAGTATATTAAAGAACCAGATATTTTAGAAAGGGAAAAATTACAAAAACTGATGCAAGAACTTTTTTCAAGCAACGAAAAACTTTTGACAAATTTTAAATATGAACTTATCATTTCTTTAGAAGAAAGTGATGAAGAGATTGTTGAAATTGCTTCAAGCAGTTTTACAGAAACTGTTGATCTAGAAGAAAACTTCTGATTCAAACAGTGAATCTAATATAGAAAATATCGATTCAAAAGGAAATAGGAAAGTCTAAAATCCAGATCCTCTGGAATTAAACCCTGAAACAAAATCATATACTAGCCATGAATTTTTAAGAAAATTGGATGAAGATCAATTCGCAACATTTGGCGATTCATCTTCAACAAATCCTATAAAAGAAGAAAATTTAACAAAAAATATGAACAAAAATTCAGTTGGATGTTCGGGTACTTATCTAGATCTGACAAATGTCCCATATAATGAATATGAGCAAGCAATCGATGATTGGGCTCAGTCTATGGCTGTAATAATAATATAGAAAAAAAGTGAATGGAATAATGAAAAGTTTTTAAATTATATTTGCACAACCCTGCAAGGTGATGCATTAATATATCAAGAAATGGCAACAAAATACATTAGGCCAATTAAAAACAGGCTGAAATTATAAAAAATCGACTTCTTGAAAATGTATATCCGATTTTACAAAACTCCTAAAACAGGAATTTATCAGATATCAAAGCATTGCTAGTCAACAAGATGAGCAACTTATTCACTAACAAAGATAAAACTTTGCAAAATTAGTGAATTTGAAACTTTTGCAAAATTATTTCAAAGATACTTTCATGAAGTGAAGAATCTGATTCAGAATTTTGGAAGGGTTACTTTTTTCATAAACTACCTCGACCTTGGGATGAATTATGTAATTGTACATATAAGCCACATGTAGAATCATTTAAATGCACAGACACTCTTGGTAACAAGATTGCTTTTGTACTTAGAACAATGATGAAATTGCCTCACTTCTAAGGCAACAAAACAAACTTTCCCCAAAAATATGTAAGAAAGTCCTAAAAGAGGAATGGGAAGTAGGTTGTAACAGTCCAAAGAATTACAAAAAGAAAAAATTCAAAAAGCATTTCAAATGGAAAAATAAGAATGAACCTATCTTAAAGAACAAATATGTTGCTCAGAAAAATAACAAAAGATTTACACTAATAAAAGTTTGTGGATGTTATATTTGTAATGAATGACGTATTGCACCCAATTGTCCTAAGAAAAAGCAAAACACCAAGAAAATGGTTAAGTTTTTGGAAGAAAATAATTTTGAAATTTGTTTTGGAGAAGATCTCTCTCAAACAGAATCCATTCTCTATGAAATAGAAGAAGAGGGGGGAAAAGTCTTTTTCTCCAATGCGATATAACTTGGAGGTGCTTGTTTATTGTTAGGTGCTTTGTTTAGTGTTATGTTGGTAATAACTGAATTAATTATGAACTTAGGATGCATATCTACTAAAATTAGCTTCGTATTGGTTTGCCTAGTTTAGATAATATTATTGATTTCTACCAAGTAAATATAATTTTTAGATACAAAAAAAAACACATTTTTGCATGCATTGACTAGTTGACCTACATACAATCATGAAGAATATATTACTCATGGTTTCTTAGGATTATGATGACATATCTTTTCTCATCCTCCCATCTGTGAAGAAAGTGAACCTCATTTTGTGATAGACATCCAGTTTAGCTGTAGGTTTCGTTGTAGTGGTAGGTATCCCAATTTGTGTGAGGGAGGTCAAGAGTTTGAATTCTGGAAGTGTCCCCAGAAAATCCAAACAAGCTAACTACGCCTATCCTTTCTAAATTTACTCAAGAAAAGCCTTTCTTGTGATGGTAGGGAAATATTTCACACAAATCGTAGCTGTGATTTCTAAACTGCTGTGCTGGACAGTGGGTATTCCATGACCCTTGAGTCATTCGGGACTCTTCGTATATAAGTTAAATCTGATGAATTTTGTGGACATTGTGATCATGAAATTACTTGTCTTGACCCTGTCATAAACATGAAGTTGGGGGGAATCTCTGGCTTGTTGGTTCTTGTAGGATAGACCAGGCTCGCTATCCTAGCTTTTCAAGTTTACAAAATCGATGGCCCAGTCCTGTTTTGGTTTTATGAATTTGGTTGATATTAAATTTTACATGTGTTTCGTATGTAAACTATTTATCTCATTGTTGCAAGCGAACCATTTATTATTGTTATTACTTCTTTAGTTTAAGGGCACCAAAAATCCCATTTGAAGCTTTTGGCATTAGCATGGTGTTGAGATAATGTTTGGCCTGACCATGTTCTCTCTTTCGTGATTGTTCTTCCATTTGTAAAAAGCTTACTGTATCTCTCTTTATATATCCTTTACAGAGAAATAGCAAAGCATCTTTCGCTTCCCCCTGTAAAGCTCCATTGTAGCATGCTTGCAGAGGATGCGATCAAGGCAGCTATTAAGGACTATGAAGCTAAGAGAGCTAAGTCGAATGGGGATGCTACCACAGTGCCAGAGCAGAAAGCTGCCAATGCCTGATGCGTACGTAAAGTATGTTTATATTTCCCTTATGATGCTAGGATATCAAAGTGTGTCATAAATGACAATCTTCTCAGTTCTGTAAACTTTAACTATTTGGAATAATAATGTGGATAATTGTTTCATGTGGGCTGGGCCGCATTTCTACACGTGCAGTCTAGAAAGTGTAAAGCATCCATCTAAAGATGGATAAGTAGGTATTCTATCTAAAAATAATGGAAACTAACGGTCCAAATGTTTTCTTACTAGAAATATTATTTTATTTTTTAAAATTTATGTATTTTTTCATATTCATGATCTCCATATTAGAAACTACATGTCCTTAAAAATTAAGTCTTAAAATCCATCTCAAAAATAAGTTTATTAAGAGGCCTGCATTTCTACATATGGGCTTGGCTGTTAAGAAACCAGGTCCTAATAATATTTTCTTATCCCAATTCTCCAAATGCCTTCATCATATAAGGAAATGTACCTAATGAGACCGTTTACTTTTCAAGCCCCGCATTTCTATATATGCGGGCTTGGCCGTTTAGAAACCGGGTCCTAATAATATTTTCTTATCCCAATTCTCGAAATGCCTCTATCATTTAAGGAAATGTACTTAATGAGTCTGTTTACTTTTCATACGAAGAGGTTACAATCGTTATTGACCGTTAGATTTGAAATTGGGTGGTTGAGGATGTGTCATTATACGGGCACAAAGCTCAAAATAAAGTTTTTTTGAATGTCGTAACACTTTTATTCACGAAATTTTTTTATGTAGAGCCGAGGCTTTAAACAATCAAATTAGAGCCCAACTCAGAGAGGAGGTTTTGATGCTCAAATATCTTCAAATCGATCATCTTGACATCAAGATGTGGACATGAAAAAAAAAAAGGATTTCAAGTTTTGGAAATAGTGCATCTTGGAACATTTTTTTTTTAAGCTTTAAACTTTATAGTTAATGATGAAAATATATTTTAAGGCTATCACAAATATTTTCAATATTGAAATCACATTTCGCGACATTATTTGAAGGTGTGCGTTACTTTGATTTTTTAAAGCCTCGGCTCTATACAAATCACACCTTTTATTTATTGGATTTAACATCCAATGGCTAAAATTGATTATGACCTTGTTTTCTCAAAAATCAATGGTCTATATTATATACATGTCCATGTCCGCTAAATTTATCAATGGGAGTGAGTGAAATTTGTGCAGTGGCTAATTTTTTTGAAAGGAAAATTTATGTATGGACCTCAAATAAATTAGTATACTTCAAGATCATCCAAATTTGAAGTATTTTATGCTGAGGTACTCATGTCCCTTTCTTATTTGTTTTTTCCAATTTCTCTCTGTTATGATGTTTGCATATCAGACTGCTTTTGTATTTTAATTTTTTGGTTTGTGGGGGTCGGTCCGATGTTCTGATATCGGACAATCCTACATCGAGCGATTTGATATATGGAACAGCGGACGGTCTGCATGCGAAAGTTTAAGTCAGCATTGTAGTTGGATATTTTAAATATCAGACTGCTCAAAACTTCAAAACATTTTAAAATATGGAGCAGCTCGTTATTAGCGATATCACACAATGCCAAAGTAAAGTGAAGTAATTTTCTCAAAAAAAAAGAGGTTTAGAGCAGTATGTTAGACATCCTTACAAAGCAAAAAAGAACAAAAAAAATTGAAATAAAAAATGGTATGATATTGCAAACTCATATTGAGGGGCAAAATTAGGAAAAAAATAAAAAAGGGCACGGTTTGGACCTCGGTGTAAAATACTTGAAAGTATGGATCCTCATGTAGTATCCCAATTTTTAAGCCTGCCAGTGAGAGGAAAAAGCCATTTCTCAAGTGCATGGAGTTCATTGACAAACGTAGGCCAACCTTTGCAGGATTCTGAATGCTTTCATAGTCTCTTTAGAGTTTTGAATGTGTACCTAGCAGTGTAAATTGTTGAATTCTACTCAATTTTTTTAATGAAAGTTCAATTCTTCAAGTGATTGAAAACAAGAAGGTTATGTTTCTTTATAGCAAGACCCGTTACTATGCTTATATGTGCCTCTCTCTCTCTCTCTTGTATTTTTCAGTTTGTTTATTTTTTAGTATTATATTTCAAAATAAATGATATATCATTAGGTTCGAGAACCTTTTCAGATGTGTGTTTTATTTTTGGCACAGAACGTAAGACTCATGGAATGGTATATTGGGTAAGGGTAATTTTTATTAAGAAAAAAGTTTATGTAAGGGTGAGGCTCTTAACAATCAAAATTAAGACGCACCTCAAAAAGACATTAGAAGAGGTTTGTTTCAATGCTAAAAAATTATCAAATTGATAATCTCAACCTCAAGTTGTACGGATATGGGAAAAAAAAATAGATTTCAAATCTTGGAAATAATGCATCTCTTAATGCAATTTTTGGATGGTCAATTTTCAATGTTTTTAAATGTTCTTATATTTGTTAGATTTACAATATTTTTTAAGCTTTAAATTTTATAATAAGATATGAAAATAAATTTTCAAGTCATTAATAAGATTTTCAATATTAAAACATCTTTCGACAGTATTTTAAGGCGTGTGTTACTTTGATAGGTTAGGGCCTCGGCCTTATACAAATCACACCCTTTTATTAATTAGGCGAAAGGAGTTATGTTATATCATATATTTGAGTTATTTCTTTGTAATACATATGATTTTTGAGATTTTTTATTTTGATATCATGTAACTCTTACCCTGTGGGATTTATTAGAGCGGCATATGACGAAAATTGCCCTTTTTTAAAAAACCAAACAACAAAACTAAGTGGGGAGAGAAAATTTTTTGCATAGGGTGTGGTTTGCATAAGTTGCAATTTTAAACAATCAAAGGTGTACTTTCAAATTTTGTCACAAGATCTAAGTTTGGTTGAAATTTTTTAGGATGGTGTGGAAACTAACTGTATTTGAACTCCAGATATCGTCCAAATCAAGCCGATCCATGAAAATCTTGAAAATGAACTGTCCAGATTATGTGTTATAAGATATACTATTTTTAAGACTTGAAATCTCTTTTTCTCCATATCTATATATATCGATGCCATGATGATGAACTGGATGGTTTTCCAATATCAAAATGACCTTTTTCGAAGGAATTTAAGGGTGCACCTTAATTTTACAGGGAAAAGTTTATATAGAGTCTAGGCTCTAACCAATCAAATTAGAGCTTACCTCAAAAATTTCACTCAAAGAGATTGTTTTGATGCTTAAATGTCCTCAAATTGATCATCTTGACATCAAGATGCATGGACTTCAGAAAAACATGGATTTCAAGTTTTGAAAATAGTACTTCTTGTAACACATTTTTGGACCGTCAATTTTTAAGTTATTTAAGTTTTCATAGATCTGATCGATCTACACTATTTTTTAAGTTTTAAATTTTATAATTAAAGATGACAATACACTTTAAGACTAGTCAAAGATTTCCAGTATTGAAACCACATTTCTTGACACTATTTGAAGGTGGGCTCTCATTTTATTGTTTAGAGCTCAGTTCTATACAAACTGCACCCTTTAAGTATCAACCTTATATAAATTTTTTTCCCATATTTATTATGTTTTGAAAATGAAATACGATTGTATACTATGAGATCATCTATCATTCTTACAAGTAGGTTATAGTCACTCCTACACTCAAACTTGATGCCTTTCGGGTGTATTGCGAAGTTTGAGAAATTTATTTTTGAACTTTGAATCTAATCATTAGCACACTTCCAAGTATGTGATTTAAAATCTGATTGTGTCGTTGTACTGTAAAAGTAAAAAAAACGGTTTGTATAGAGCCGAAGTTCTAAATAATCAAATTAAAATGAACCTTGAAATAGTGTCGACTGTCGAGATATGTAGTTTCAAAATTGGAAATTGATATAAAAAGCCCAAAGGAAAAATATGCAAAACATCGTATCAACCATTGTAGGATTGATACGAAAAGCCCAAAGGACACATTTATTAAGTGATGACCAATTGCAGCCACCAATTTGACCCTTCTAGTGGTTGTTGATGATAAGGGTGGGAAGTGGGTCGGGCTGACCCACTGATGTGGTGAGTCAATCCAACCTTGGTTTGGGTCTGTGTTCATCTTCAGGAGCCGGCAAGTTAGGTCCAAAAATATGGACCTGGCCAATTTATGGGTTGGATCCTAGACTAGGTTGACCCTACCTAATAAATATATCATATAATATATTTTTATATATTATATAATATATTTTGTATTATTTGATATAATCATAAACTGCGTATAACATTTGTGCCATTTGATACGCAATAAGATATAGAAAACTAACAGTATATTCAGAGAACAAAAGAGGTGATAATACATCTTTAACTCTACTTTGTTAGGTGAAAGTCGACTCAATTTACATGAAGCAGCAATGAAAAAATAAAGGGCGATGTATAGGCGCATCTCTAAATTTTGTTGTAAGATGTTCCGGTGTAGAAAACCTTACGATGGCTTTAAAATTTATGTTCAACTCTAATTTTATATAATTTAAAATTAGAAAATGATACAAGTCGAGCAGATTTATAAACATTTAATTATCTTGAAAGTAGAGTCTAAATAATTTGTTATAAAATACACTATTTGTAAGATTTGAAATTCTTTTTTTTCTTTATATCATACATTTCAATATCGAAACAATCAATTGAAATGTTTTCCAACTTCATAACACTCTTTTCTCTTGAATTTTTGAGGTATGCCATACTTATATGGTATAATGTTGCAATCTTATTAAACTTTTCCCAAGAATAAAAAAAAATTAAAATATAATAAAAGGGATACAAAAAGATGATGAATAATATTTATTATTGAAAGGACTTTATGATAAAGCACAGTGTATATATTTAAAAGAATTCTTTATCCCGACACTGGCAAGATCACTTATAATGTCCAATTATAATCCAACCACACTTGAAATAAATAAAATAAAAATAAAAGCAATTCTCAATTGCTGCCTCTTCAAATGCAATTCTTTATTCAAGAAACAAAAAGCAGACTTTAATATTTTATGGGAAGTGAAATAAATATTTAAAAAGGAAAGTTGCCATAGATTACATCAACCGGGCTTAGTACACCCCACGCCGAGTCAGTCTCCTCCTTCCGATGGTGTTTGG